AGCTTCCAGCTCTAAGACCTGCATTAACCTGCAGCTTCACCCAGTCTCTTGGGACATCGACACTGTCGGCAATTGCCTTTTTCTCATCCCAGTCAATAGCATTGTATAGTTCCTGCCGCTGTTCTTCAGTCATGGTAGTCTCCTCGGACTCCTCCTTCTTGCTGCCCCAGAACCATTCTGACCAGGACTGCTGCTGCGCAGGCTTCTTGACACCGACATTCTCCTTTCTTAATTGATTCCTCGCCAGCGATCTCCAAAAACGAATGTCTTCGTAGCTGAGCTTTCTTTGCAGGCGTTCGTAGTTTTCGGCGTCTGCGGCTGTCAAGGTTTCTTCGCGCTTTTTCTTCTTGAACAAGTCAATGTACGCGATGCGGTCATCTCGTCGTTCCTTGATGTAGTCCCAGGTCCAGCGCCTATTTCGTTCATGGATCTTGCTAAGTACAGCCTCCCCAGCAAACCTCAGCCAAGCGCGGGGATCCTCCTTTGGTCTGCACTTTGGCTGGAACTTCCTGTATTCCTGGTGACGGATGAAATAGTGAAAGAGGTCGACAAGCATCAGCGCATCACGATACTGGTGGTCGTCAAGGACGAAACTGAGTTCATCAAAGAGCAACCTCGCTTTGATCGCCGCCCTATCATGTCCTCCAGACTTGTCCATCTCTAGACCAGCACGTCCGCTAACCGGCCGAAGCATGAACTGAACATTTTCTTCGCTATCAATGCCCGACCTTAGCTTCTCGATCAACTCCGCATGGCCAATTCCCTGTGCTTCTGCGCCTATGTCGGAACCTCGACCTGTACCCAGAAGATTTGCATCTGTGTTCCAGTAGATTGCGAGGGCGCCGAGGATTGCCAGTTTATGGGTCGTACCGGAGGTCGACTGGATGAAAGTGGGATTCCACTCGGAGTCGGTGCTGACGGCACTGAGCTCCTTCAGTGTCACACCGAGGGCGAAGGGGTGGTCAGGCGAAGAAATCGAGTCCTCGTAGCGAAAATGCACGTTTTTGATGGATATTTGAAGGTTGTCGACGACGGCCGTTACCAGGCTTTGAGTGAAGCTTTGGTTCCGACGCTGCTCTTCCTGGCTCATACCCTCTGTATTGCGTTCCTTGAGCATTTCCGCGCTCTCGATCTTTTCCATCTTCAGGTGATGCGCCCGCCGCTCTTCCTCCTCCGGGTCGTAGTCCTGATCTTCCTTGGGAGCCGCAAGCAGAAACACATCTTCAATATCAACCTTGACTGGCTTCCCTCGTAGATTCGACCAGGGGATCGACAAGGTGAGCTCTCCGACATGTCCTTCTACAACGTTGAGCGGCAGACGTAATTGATCGAGAGCCTCCCGTCGGAGCTCCAAGTTATGGAGCTTCACATCGCCAGACCAGATTCCGATATTCAACTGTCTGCCATCAAAGTTCTTGATGTACATGCCCAGGGTGCGGTTGAGCAAGTTGGCGACAAGACCCTCCAACATGGTTGCGGGATGCGGCCGTAACCCGGGCCGGGGGCTTCTGCGTGGAGACCGTAGGGGATAATAAAATTATTCGTAACTGATCGTTTAGGCCAGCCTAATTTAATGAAGCGCAGCAGAGTCAGCATGACATCGATACGATGATCACAGATGGGCGGGGAAATGAAGGGCGATCGAGCAAACAAATGAATAGAATGGGAAAGACCTTTCAATGATGCGCGAGTTCTAGTTGCACTCGCAGATAATAGAGAAAAGAGCCATGCAGAAGGTTGGCTCGGTATGCACGCGATACAAATTGCGGGCGGCAAGTGCAAGCAATGGGCTAACAAAAAGTGGAAGTATAGATAGTGAATCAAGTGCGGAGAAAACGAAAGAGGAACGTGGAAGGGCTAGCTGACGTATTCCCGCGGCAGTTCAGGTAGACGGAAGAGTGTAAGGGAAAGGAGGGGGAATAGTAAGTACTAGTCGAAGGTTGGGTATCAGGCTTGGCCCAGTAACCCAATTGTGAAAGAGTGGAGGACGAGACTTGTCTCTAGATAGGCGAGTGTACCTGAGAAGGCATGTGCTGGGCCGATGATAATAATACGAAGGGAAGAAACTAATCACTAATAGGGGGAGAAAGAGGGTGGATAGAGCGCTGCGTAAGTAAACGCCCGTGACGCGGTACGGAGCAGTTACGGAGACTCTCTTTCTCTCAGTCACTTAAGTGTCTCACAGTAGAATCGGGCCCTGAGTGACGTCGGTGCTTCTGCCATGGCATGGCCTGAGCTGAGAGGACCCCCTTCCACTTCGAGACTAGCTGTCTAGGGCTGCAGCCCTCGTGGCTGAGTCAGCCCGCGTGGTGGTTTGGACCAGTCATGCCTGAGGCATTGTCTATGACACCTGCGGTGTTGGCGTCTACGGTATGCCGGAGAACGACGTGACCGCACCTCAGCATAATATCACCTCATTCATTCGTGGTCTCCAGGATCGAATTGCTTCCCCGGCCTGACATCTCCACTCCCACGAGTCAATCTCGACCAATTTCTGGGTGAATACCCTCATCTCCGCTCTTGCACCTTTTTCTCCTTCTTCCACCAGCTCAATTGGGTGTGTATACCCCCCGAATTGCTTGCTTCCGAGCTCTTCCACCCTCCACCCTGCTAACCGCGGATATCGGGAAAAAAAATCAGCTGTCTAGACGACAATGCTGTACAGAACCACTGCTGCCCGCTCTGTCCTCAGGGCTATCTCGAGCTCCAACGCCTCGGTCGCCCGCTCGGCCCTGTCCAACAATGTCTTCAAGGCTCCCTTGACCTCTTCCGCTCGTTATCCCGCTCGCCCGACCACCTCCCCCAGCCTCGCTCTGGCTGCTCGCAAGCCCGTCACCACCGCTCTTGTCCGCTATGCCTCCACCTCCGCTAAGGTGAGCTGGGAATGAGGCAAATTGAGTACTACAATTGAGTCAATTGCTGATCAAAGATCCACAGGAAGGCGAGGAGCCCGACATGATGGCCGGTATCAAGACCGAGGCTGTATGTGTTTCCATTCTTCCCCAGATATCGCTACTTCTGCGGGGCAACTAAGTCTCTCGGCGATACCTCTGGAGTCCAATGCGCTAATGACTATACCTCAACCTATAGAAAGTCATCAAGGACACCTTCAGCCTGGAGGCCGTCCCCAAGGAGGCCCTCTACCTCGGAATGGCCGGTGTCATCCCCTACGTCGCTACTTCCCTGCAGACCGTTGCCCTCGCCTATGAGGTCAAGACCGCCGCCTTGGCTGGTGATGGTCTGATCTTCTCCGGCCAGAGCGCCGAGTTGATGCTGCACATGATCGAGCCCATCCAGGTCGGCTACGGTGCTGTTGTAAGTAACCCAGCCTCAATCTGACAGCAGACCCCACTTGTCCCAAGAATACCCCAGCTAATCAGACCACCCAACAACAGATCCTCTCCTTCCTCGGTGCCATCCACTGGGGTCTCGAGTGGGCCGGCTACGGCGGCAAGTACGGCTACAAGCGCTACGCTGCCGGTGTTATCGCCCCTGCCGTTGCCTGGCCTACCCTGCTTCTCCCCGTTGAGTATGCCCTGATCTCTCAGTTCCTTGCCTTCACCTTCCTGTACTACAACGACGCTCGCGCCGCTGCTGCCGGCCGCGCCCCCGCCTGGTACGGCATGTACCGCTTCGTCCTCACCTTCATCGTCGGTGCCAGCATTGTTGCCAGCTTGATCGGCCGTGAGCAGATCGCCGGTACCCTCAGCACTGAGCACACCATCAAGGACAAGATCAACGCTCTGATCTTCCTGCAGAAGAAGGAGAAGGAGGAGGTTGAGGCCCGTCGTCGCGCTGAGCTCGAGGATGCCGAGTAAGGGATTAAATTAATTGATATCTCAAAGTGTTGGTTTATTTTGATTCCCTGAAACGTATATAGTACAAAGGGCAATTCGGAGAATGAGGGGTGAAAGGTCATCCAGGCTGTCTGTGGCAAGCATGGTTGTGATACAGTAGAAATCATGTCGGGTTTTTATGTATGATGTAGTTTTATACTACTACTGTTTTTTTGGGTTGAAAGTTTTCTTGTAGATTACATGCGAAATCAACAACGCCAGCAGCTGCTGGAAGTTTCATTTGTTTGTGCCATGTTCAGCTGGGGGTAATAATTACAACCTAAAGTGGTGATAGTAAGCACGCATTAGGAGTGTTCAAGCTCAAGGCTTGGCTATCACTCAGTTTGTGAGCTTTTTTGACCTTAGGCAGTGACCAGCATACTGATACTAATGCTCATAAGTAGCACACTTGCAAAGTCATCGAATAATTCACCTTTATGAGAAACAACTCAATCGTACTACTAGTAGTTGTAAGTACTGCACAATTGAACCGGCAATACCACAACACCACTGGCTGGCAGAGGTTAAAGGTCTAGCCAGACATTACACCTCCCCCGGAGATTTATATATAAAGATAGTATCAATTGAAGTCAGGTGACAGCGTCCACTTACTTACCAAATAGTATCTATCTACAGCATGTACCAAGCACTATAAGTAGCAAAGGGCTGCATATACGGCCGAGAAGAAAAAAAAATAAGTGAAATAAAATAAAATAAAATTAGGCAGGGAGTGGGGCCCCGCCAGCAAGGGTAGATAGATTGAAAAAGGACAGTACGTAGTACGTATGTAAGTCGGTTGGGTTGAAGAAATTCCATCCAAATCCGGCAGAAAAAACGACACCTACCTGACCCGAACAGAAAAGGAAAGTAAGACGAGAAGTGCCCAGGCTCAGTCGGAACTCCGGGTGGCTTTCTGCGGTAACTATGTATAAAACCAACGGTATACCGTATGCTTGACTAATTGCAGGTAAAGTAAGGTAATAAAGATAAGGGTTGGGCGGGCGCGCCCAACGAACAACGAACGAACGAACGGCAGGTCTGGAATGTGGCATGCAGGGTTGAACGGACGGCATTTGCTTTCTGCAGTGTCGGATGTTCCGAACGAATCCGAGTCGTGGGATATAGAGTGTGTTTGTTCTGCGATAGGTAAGTAGTATAGTAATGAGTAGTTCAGTTTAGGGGGGAGGTAGCAGGAAGAGTTGGGACTGGGTTACTATGGCGTGTGATACGGATGTGTGTGTGCTGCTTGTGCAGATCAAGAGCCAACAATGACGACCGGAACGGGGAGGTGCCGCATTGAAACAGGTTTCGGGGTTGACGATGTGCGTGTGTGTGTATGTGTGGTGGTGGACGGCCGCCGCGGGTCTGGATCCGGTTGTTGCTTTGCTGTGTGTGTACACCTTAGGCATACATACACATGCTTGAATCGGGGGAGGGGGATCTTGTAGCAAATATGGGTAGGTAATAATATCTGGCTAGGGGTCCTTTGTTTCGGCGGACAGGGTATGTTTCTTCGATGGGAATTGGTAGGGATGTGTCGGCCCGCCCTTTTGGGGCGAGACGAGCCCGTGGTCCAGGGCGATAAAAACGGATGTGGCTGATGTGATTGCGGTCCATGGATTATGGGTTTTCCCCATATCAACTTTGCATCATTGGGGGATGATGATATAGATCCTTGGCAATTGAGCTTTCGGGGTTGATAGTCTAGTGAGGTCATACTCGAATGGCGAATGATTACATAGGTGACCATATTGGAAGCTGAACCTGTTGATCTTCTTCTCCGCTCAATTTGGGGAGGACCACAACGGTTCCTGGGGCAGTTGCTTCGTATACCTGAATAGGGATAGATGGCAGATCAATGTCGTGGCTAGTTCATGATGGGCGGGCGGGTTTGGAATTTCTGCTGGCTGGCTTGCTTGCTTGCTTTGCGTTACTTGGGAGCTGTTTGTGTCGGTGGGTGTGATTTATTGAGGTGGCCCTTAGGAAGGTCAAGTCCGGTCGAAGACGTCACCACCCGGGAGTTAGATTTTGGGGGCGGCCCTGCCGTGGCGGTTCACTATACGGACGGAGAAATGTAGACAGGCGGCATGATTGATTTCCATTCCATGGACGCAGATTGGGACTGTCATTTAATTCTCCAGGGAGAGATAGGGAAGTCTGAAGCGATTTGAATTCATCGATGGATCGAAATCGTGGTACTGGGGTTGGGATAATTAATCCTACTATATTTTTTGGCGCGTCTGGACTGGTCCGAGCAGAAGAAGAGTATTGGAGTTAGCCGGAACGCCAGGACGATAGCCGGGAGAATTGGTCCCGTGGCCCCCCCCCCCCCCAGCCCAGCTGCTAGGCTTCCCTTCCTCCCCCAGCCAAGCCGAACCGAGTATCCGGATTGTAAAATTTCTCCGTAAATCACAGGGCCGAACGAGGTCGCCTCCCCCATGTCTCTCTGCCTAATGGAGAATGGTACAGCGGCACGCTAGAAGGTCGCCAGTCAGGGGAGCCGACGGTCTAGAAGGCCAAAGTAAAATGTGATTGCAAATGGAGGGCAGGGGACAACACATCCATTGAGATGGATGGAATAGTAGTCACTTGATCGCTACTAGTATGTATGGTAGTTTATGTGCGTGCTCCCGTGCTTAAGAAAACGGGTGAACTGTGAAGGGACTACTATCTACTATTACTCAGAATGGGTTGAAGATCTCAAGCAGCGCAACAGCACACAGCAGGCTATCCGAAAACGACAGGTGAAGAAAAGGAAAAGGAGAATTATCCATTCGGTGTTCAAGTGATCAGAAAGAAAAACAGTAAAAAAAAGGAAAGAATATTGGAGCCAGGGGTCGAAAGACCCCGGTCTAGATCGTCGATTGCTTGAACAACGCGTTGAAAAGGGACTAGCGGGAGAAAAATGGACATTGTCATGTGCTCGATCGACAGGAATCTAGTAATCCATCTAGTCGAAGTAGAAGCGCAGAATCCCATAGTAGCGGAGTCGGAGACTCACCCGCAGAGCCCCTCTTTTTTTTCTTGCGCGTTTCGCCCTCGAGTCGCGACATTTGTCCATTCAGCGCCGACCCCGCCGTTCTGGTTGTTGAGTCGGATCCTTGGCAGGGATTGTTGTCAAGGGGGAGCGGAGGTTGAAGGGGCGCAAGATGAGAAGACGGTCTACGGTCTCTGGGGCAGATGGACCGGAGATCCATTGGGTTCTAGGGATGCCGATTGTAGATCTTCGAGGGGACATGTCGGTATACAGGCACTCATAACTGTACACTGCATCCTGAATTGTCCAGTTGTTTAGTTTAGGTCGGGCAGGCTTACGTATCGATGTACGATGCATTGATCTGGCATCTGCGGTTTTTTTTTTCTTGGTATTCAAACAAGGAATCGGATTGATAGATCAGAATCGCGATTGATTGTTTAATTGTGAAAGTTGAACATGGGATTGGGCGCGAAACCATTAATCACACCAATTAAACCAGCGATATCGGGAATAAGAGCAATAAAAAGATCCAATATCATAATCACGATGAATATCAGCATCTGCCATGTTTCACATCGCAATCTGAGCAGGTCAGTCAGCCCTTAATTGCTTGTTTTGGACCCAATGGAATCCTGATGTTCTCTTCCATATGGCTCCGTGTTCGCGGGTGGTTCTAGGCACAGACGCTAGCTAATGCGGGTGGAGGGATTGTCCTGGAAACAGAAATCCATGGAATTTTTATGGGTCCGCCATGAGTGTCATGTGGGAGCCCAGCGACTATTCTTAGCGCTTGTCTAACTCTGGAATACTACCTACTCGGTCTGCTGGGTCGGATACCTTGCCGATGAGAGAAGATTGAGGAAAGAACAGAAAATAGACGAAATTAGTGAACTGTGAACTGTGAAACCTTGTCGGCATTATGTCCGGTCGTTCAGTTGGGTCGAGAGAGATGTCGTGACAGCTGGAGATGATTGCATTTACATATTGTTCCTCAAATAAGTTACGACCAATATATATCAATTTCTACTGTAGTAAATTGAAACTCTCAACACCAACGATAGGAACGAATCAGAAAGAAAAAAAAAAAAAGAAAAGAAAAGAAAAGGTTCAATGGAAAATTTTGAATCCATCCACAACCTGCCAGGTACTACTGTATTCAGTAGTATCTACTCCAGAATCCGTAACGCCGATGGAAGCCCACCGAATAAGCTAAAGAGATAAGAATGGCGAGTGACCAGGGGTAAACCTTCCTAAAATCACCCAGAAGGCATGGTTGCCATCCGTGTAAGGGGGGAGGAACGGAGAACCTTCACAAGTGTTCGACAAGAAAAGACCAACGGGGGGGCATGAGGGAGGGGCGGGTGTCAATGCTGACGACGGGCAGTGGTCGTCTGATCAGAAAAAAAATGATGAGAAGGGCCCAGAAGGGGAGGAAGGAAGGCAAAGATTAGTGGGAAAGGAAGGGGATTACCCATTGATTGCTGGCTGCGTTTTTCCCTTTTTCCTTTTTTTTCCCTCTTTTCCTCTTTTTCCTTTTCCCCCACGCCCCCACTTCTCCGCCATGGACGAACGGGGATGCGCATCCAGCAGATTGCCAGATTGGGTACTCGCCGCTAGTCCATTGCACCTGCTCTTCTGACCCTCTTGTTCTGTCTGTCTGTCTCTGTATTGGTATTGAGTGAGAGTGTACTGCCCACCCCCCTCTCTCCTCCTCGACTACTACCTCTTTCTAGTGTTTCCCCGGGCTAGTCCATTCGATAGCAGCAGGTACTGGTACCGTACTAGCGATCTAGTCTAGGTCGGATTGGACTCGACTCGACCTTGGACCTTACTTTCCGGCAGGAATACCACCTAGACCCAGGGGATTCCCCGGAACAAGCTATGCATGACCCAAATCCTATCTGGGGGGGGGCAATTTTTTAATAATTTGATTGAAAAGGGAAAAAAATTGAGGGACTACCACGCAAAGAATTAAAATAAAAATAAAATAGAAATTTGAAGGAAATAAATTATCAGCAACCCCGAGGACAACGTGAACAAGAAGAAAAGAGGTCCCACCGAGTTGGATAAAGAGTCTCCCTCATCCTGCCTCCAACATCTCTTGAGCCAGATTTAATTGATTCCCTTCCGTTCTGTTCTCCTTCCCTTCCCTTCTACCCGTCGCCACACCCCAATAAACCACACCCGGTCTTATCCAGTCTTCTCTGTGACCTCATACCCTCTCTCTGCGGACACTCTCCTCTCTTCCGGTCCCTCCTCTTAACCTTCCTCCAGCCTTTCAGCGGTCTATCCACACCTGGCGCGTCCTCTTGTTTCTCCAGATTCATTTCTCGGATCCCTCTCCACCCAATCGGTTATCACGCATACGTCACCATCCGTCGCGCTGGGTCCTTGCTCCTCTTGCTGCTCGCTGCTCTCATACTTGCACACTCAACTCTTGGATCTGTACTACTTGCACTACTACTGGCTTGCTGCAACTGCCGCCACCGGGCGTCCTCATTTTCGTAGTTCCAGCCTTACTACTCCTACTATCCCCCCCACCCACTCGTCCGTTTCTTCCTTAAGTATCGGACTAAGGACGTAATCCTGTTTTCCTCCCTCCTTTCTATTTCAATACCGCCACGATTTCTCCAATCAGTTCTTCCCTTTTTCAGGCTCTGCCTTCCTGGTCACTTCTATCCTCCCTCTTTAGGAAATCAGAAGTCGGAGCCTCAAAAGCCCCTCCCACCGCACAAATGCAGAAATCACCCACCATCACTTTTGACTCTATCGCTCTCCCCGATCCTCTCAATCCCCCCACCAAGAAGACCAGAACCCCACCAATTACCACCTCCAAGATGAGGAATCCTTTCGATATGGCCGACCTCGACTCCGCCGTCGAGCGGGAAGAACCCCAGCCTTTCATGGACATTCACGCCTACCAGTCGCGCGATGGCAATCGCTCCTTGTTACAACCCAACGAGAGCCGTCACGGAAGCAGTATGAAGGATCGCTTTATCGGTGCCATTGACACCGGTACCACCAGTTCCCGTTTCATCATCTTCGACTGCACTGGTGTTCCTGTGGCCAAGTACCAGATGGAATTCCGCCAAATTCACGAGAAATCAGGGTAAGTCTCACCATTCCAACCATGGTCCGTCTTCATCACACTCATGTCGATTTCCTCTTCTTAGATGGCACGAACAAGATCCCTTTGAACTCGTCGATTCCGTATACACCTGCATTGAAGAAGCTATGAAGACCTTCCTCGCACTCGGTCACTCCCGGGACGATATCGAGGCTATTGGTATTACCAGTCAACGTGAGACAACAGTGTGCTGGGATTGGGAGACTGGTGAGCCTCTACACCACGCAATCGCGTGGCCAGATACCAGAACCACTGGGCTGGTTCGAGAACTCAAGGCAAAGGAGGGTGCGGATGAGCTATCAAACATCTGCGGCCTTCCCCTGTCGACATACCCTTCCTCCGTCACCCTCATGTGGATGCTCCGCAACCTCCCCGAGGTGAAGAGGGCATATGATGAGGGCCGCCTGGCTTTTGGTACCATCGACACCTGGCTGTTGTACAACCTGAACGGTGGCCCGGAGGGCGGCCGGCTGGTGACTGACGTCACAAACGCATCACGAACCATGTTCATGAACCTCGAAACGCTTGATTACGATGATAAGTTGTTGAAGTTTTTCGAAATCGATAAGAACAAGATCAGACTGCCCAAGATTCTTCCTTCCTCTGACCCCGAGGGCTACGGATGGGTTAGAGACGGCCCGCTTGAGGGTATCCCCATCACAAGCTGTCTCGGCGATCAATCTGCTGCCTTGGTCGGTCACTGTGCCTTCACGCCCGGATCTGCGAAGAACACTTATGGCACGGGCTGTTTCCTTCTGTACAACGTTGGTGAGAAGCCTGTTATCTCCAAGCATGGCTTGCTTGGCACCGTGGGCTTCCAGTTGGGCAAGCACCGCAAGCCTGTGTATGCCTTGGAGGGCAGTGTCGCTGTTGCTGGAAGTGGTATCTCCTTCCTGATGAACAACATGGGTTTCTTCCGTGATTCCCGTAAAGTCAGTGAGGTCGCTGCGACCGTCCCCGATAGTGGCGGCTGTGTCTTCGTCACTGCCTTCAGTGGTCTGTTCGCACCCTACTGGATTGATGATGCCAAGGGAACCATCTGTAAGTTCACCCGCGTTCTTCGCCGTTCTTTGTGAGGAAAATATTTACTGACTTTGATTCAGTTGGTATCACTCAGCACACTCAGCGTGGACACATTGCACGTGCCACCATGGAAGCTGCCTGCTTCCAGACCAAGGCCATCTTGGATGCCATGGAGATGGACAGCGGTCACAAGTTGTCGGAATTGGCCGTCGATGGCGGTATGAGCAATTCCGATATCTGCATGCAGGTAGGTTACTCACATGATTCTTGTCACCTGATCAACGGAGACTAATGCCCCCCTCTTAGACTCAAGCCGATATTATTCAAATCCCCGTTGAACGCCCGGCCATGCACGAGACGACGGCGCTGGGAGCCGCCATCGCAGCTGGCTTCGCGGTCAACATCTGGAAGGATTTCAGCGAGCTCAAGGACATGAACCGGGCCAACCGCACGACCTTCCTTCCCCATGCCTCCCCAGTGCAGAGCAAGAAGATGTACCGTCAGTGGTCCAAGGCCGTCGAGATGTCGCGTGGCTGGCTCGACACGAATGATTCAGAAGAAGAAGAAGAAGAAGGACAGAACGGTGCATAGTATTCTTCTTAAACCCACGTCATAGAACGGTGGCTTTGTCTTTTTCAACATTTGATTCAGCGATTTAGCGTCTTGATTTTCTCATTGCTTTGCACTCGGGGTTACGGCATGGCTACTTGGGTCCTGGGTTCGGCCTGGCACAGGTTCAAATTTCTCTGGGGATACCTGGATTCCACATCAGGTACATTATCGGTATATATAGCTGCACGGTACTTACCTTATACATATTCATGTCATTGATATTTCAGATAGATATAATAGGAATGACGTCTGATGATGAGAAAGACTTTTCTTTACTTCATATTGAGCATAATTGTAGCCAGAATCAACTATGCTAACTTACTCGATAAACATACATACATCGGCATCACATATGCCTTCTACAGTCCAGTAAAAGAGTATAGTCATAGTAGTTGACCTGCCCCAACATGAAGCATAAGATTCATAGTTAAAGTATGTAGTATGGTAGTATGGTATCACAACTAACCCACGAAACTAATATAATAATAAGGAAAAGATAATCCATCCCACAACCCAATGAGGTTGAAAAAAAAAGTATATACCAGATCAATGCTAAAACAAATCTATCAATCTACCTCCCCTCCGCCTTCTCAACCAACTGATCCTCCAACCCCATAGGCTCCCAAATCTCCTTCGCCTTCTTATTCTGCACCCAGACCACATCCCCCTGCACAAACGCCACAACACCGCCCTTACCCGTCGCACTAGCCGTGATGCGGAACAAAGGCTGACCGTTTTGCGGATGCGCTTCACGCAACGGCAGCATAATGAGGCCTTGTTCCATGCACCATGATTCGAGAATATCTTTGAAGGCGACTTCTTCGATGATTTTGGGTTTGCGGGGTTGTTCTGCTGTTGTTGCTGGCGCAGCGGCAGCAGCGGGTTTGTCTGTGGGTTTTGTTGTTGCGTGTTCGGTGGTGGTAGTGGTAGATGAAGGCGGAGGAAGTTCAGCAGCGGCACGATCGCCGAGCTGAGAGGCGAGGTCCATAGTTTGGAGACCCTTGTTCCATTCGTCGTCGACGATGGTGAGGTCGTTGATATCGGCAGGGATTTGGGTGCGCCACCAGGTGAACCATTCGGCGACTTCTTCGTAGTTGGGGTCGTTGGTGAGCCAGATGTAGAGGATGTTGTGCCATTTAGGGAAGAATTCGGCGACGAGGAGAAGACCCATGACGTTTGGTTTGAAGAAGTCTTTCCATTTCAGGACGTTTTCGAGGGCTGTGAGGTCTTGGTCTTGTGGGTTGACTTCGAAGTCTTCGCGGAGGTGGCGGCCGAGGCGCGGGAGGAGGTGGTTGCGGAGACAGGTGTCGAATTCGGAGCCGAGGGCGTCGCGCCAGAGTTCGATGCCGTTGATTAGTCCCTTGTTGAGGTCCCAGCTGTCTAGGACGACGCGGAATTTGCGCTTCGCGTCGGAGAGGAGGCCCGTGGGTTGCTTGGGGTTGGTGTGTCGCTCGTCGAGGTATTGGAGCCAGGTGAAGAGCCACCAGGGGAAGCGGGAGTTGTTGGTGGATGAGGTGTGGTGGCGGCGACTGCTGCTTCGGGGTTTCCAGTCTTTGAGGCCGTTGGTGAGCTTGGGGACGACGAGTTGGTCGAGGACGTTGGTGTAGACGAAGGAGGGGAGGAGCTCTTTCCAGGCGACGATGAGGGAGGTTGCTGGGGCGGGTTCGTATACATCCCAGTCGTTGAGGAGGGCGGAGCGCACGCGGGGTAGCCATAGAGTGTAGATCATGGTCTCGTAGGGGGAGGTGGATTGGCGTTGGGTGTGTTCGGTGTTAGCCTTTCGGAGGAGTAGGGGTTGGAGACGACGGAGGTTGGATACGAGGAAGGTTGGGTCCTTGAGGGGCTCCCATTCTTCCATCGCTTGACGGAAAAGAGGATGGAGGGCTGCGACGGCCGTTTCTGGCAGTCGGTATTCATCAATTTCGTTGCGGTACTTGATCTCCATGGACTCCAGCTTGTCGGTGATTTCGTCGAACTTTGCGCGAGTGTCTTCCTTCTGGAAGATCTCTAGCTGTCCGATGGCTGTGACGAGCTCAGACAGCTGGTCGGCCTTGAGCTGATTCGTATCTAGCTGTTCCACGACTTGGGCTTCCTCTAGCTCGATGTATTTCTTCCGCTCTGTCAGACCCTTCCACTCGTCCGCAAACGCTTCTAGGTCGTTTCGAGCACGTTGCGCGATCTTCCAGGCTTCTCCTTCGCCTTGGGTAACGAATGCCTGCGGCGTCATCAGACCAGCTGTAGACGTGAGCACCTTCTGATCCTTCCCAGTCGCATCGATCAGCGACTTCAGCACATTCGGAACTTCCAAGCCCTCCATGTCTTTTTCCATCTCGCGCGCAGTCCGGAACTGGGGCTTCGCGCGAGCCACTGGTGTCCCTGTCCCGCTCCGGCCTTCTCGTTTGCGCTCCTCCTTCTTCTTCCGTCGCCTCTTGCGCTCTTCATCTGAGCTGTCCTCGACAGATTCGCCCCGGAGAGCTGCTGCCCGTTTTTCCTCTTCCCGCGCTTGTTTGGTCTTTTCACGGACTGCACCCAAACCGGCACCTGTAGGGCGAGCTTGGGCCTCAATCGGGTTGACGATACCTTGCCCGGAAGAACCCAGACCCTGTCCCTCGACGTAACCCATCTTGGCCATCATGCGCGCGGCGAAGGAGTTGCCTCCGGACATTCCTTTGCTAGCATTGTTGCCGCCGCCTTTCATCGCTGACTGCGCGGTATTATTCCGGGGGTTACGACGGGCGCTTCCCAGCCCGCCGTGAGATGGAGGCGACTCGGAGCGAGACGACGCGCGAGCAAACCCGCGAAAGCCCATGGTTGGGCGGTAATCTTCTTCTTCCTCTTCGTCGGAGCTCATGTCGGCGATCTTGCGTTTTTGGCCGGCGTAGGGCGAGGATGAGGGGGACTCCATGGCCGGGCTGGAGGGCGAAGGGCGGCACAAAGGAAGGGATCGAGATTCACGGCGATGAAGGCGAAAAAAAGCCCGGCAGCATGACGGAGATTGTGATTGAGTATGGATGGATGAAGCTAAAAGATGGTGGATCCAAATGCCGGGAAACTTCGGCGCGGGGAAATGCGCCCTCCGAAGAAACAAGCCGTTATGACGTTGAACTTCTTCATCTCTCCTTCTTCCTTCTTCTCCCTTTTTCTCTTCAGCAACTCTCCTCTCATCCCCTAAACACCCTCGGGTCTATTGTAATAGTGCATCTTGCTCTGTTCTAATTAACGCTCACAATGGCTGCTTCCCTCGTCCGCACCTCTGCCCGTACGGCCCTGCGCGCCGGAGCTTCGGCTACTCCCAGAACTGCCGGCATGGCGGGCTTGACTTTTGCCCGCGGCAAGGCTACTCTCCCTGACTTGTCCTGTATGCATTCCCCTGCGATTCTAGAGACATATAGAGCTTGTAGTGACTGAACTGACTCCCTGTAGACGACTATGGCGCTCTCGAGCCCTCCATCTCCGGCAAGATCATGGAGCTTCACCACAAGAACCACCACCAGACCTACGTCAACAGCTACAACACTGCCATTGAGCAGCTCCAGGAAGCCCAGCACAAGAACGACATTGCCGCTCAGATCGCTCTCAAGCCCCTGATCAACTTCCACGGTGGTGGTCACCTGAACCACACCCTCTTCTGGGAGAACCTTGCTCCCAAGAGCGCTGGCGGTGGTGAGCCCCCGTCCGGTGCCCTGTCGACTGCCATCAACGACACCTACGGCAGCCTGGAGGAGTTCCAGAACAAGATGAATGCTACTCTTGCTGCTATCCAGGGTAGCGGCTGGGCTTGGCTCGTCAAGGACAAGCAGACCGGTCACATTGGCATCAAGGCCTATGCTGTAAGAATGCACCAACATGCGAAGAAATTCTTCGGATTTGCTAACTCTTTCACAGAACCAGGACCCCGTTGTCGGACAGTTCCAGCCCCTGCTGGGTATTGACGCTTGGGAGCACGCCTACTAGTAAGTGCACCCGCCCTAACCCGTGAAGATTACCAGAAGCTAACATGATTTTCTAGCCTCCAATACCAGAACCGCAAGGCCGAGTACTTCAAGGCCATCTGGGAGGTCATCAACTGGAAGGCCGTGGAGAAGCGCTTCTCCGCGTAAAGCTTTTCTTATGACATGAACTGTATATTGACACGGCTTGATTAGCGATTGTGGATCTGCGTATTATGTGTACTATGGATTTGGAACTAATCAGGCTCAACCCGATGCCCTAATGCAAACTCCGTATTAATGGCACTCTCCTCTCTTCCCTTCATTTCTCTCCGTAAAGAAAATAGACTCTTGTTCTTCATCAGCCACCGTGGCTGAAGCTCGGCAGGTGGCGGATGTCAGCTCCGTAACATCCGGTAAACGTAATACAACGCCGATCATGTTTCACATTCGCTGCATCGCCGGCTTCATCTTCATCTTCATCTTCTTTCCGTCCTCCCATCTTCTCCGCTTCACCCTCCCCTCCTCTCCCCAATGTCTGATGACAGCCCGGGAGAAAGGCGCGGCTTCCGCGCCTTCTTCGCTAATGCCCTCCGGCCCAAGAAATCCCGACAAGTCCTACGCAAGGGCTACAGCGCATCCACTCCAGACCTCCGAGCCGGCTTCAAGCGGCCCAGCACCACCAGCGAAGATGTCCCTCCGCTGCCCTCCCTGGCGCCATTGGAGGCCCATCGCCTCAAATACCGAGAACTCAACGCCAACAAAGACACCCAACTCGGTGAAAGCCGCGATCACACCGAACTCCTGCACGCCATCGGCGTCCAGGACATCGACCCTTCAGACCCCTACGCCAACCGCTCCGAGTTCGACAACCGTCCTCCAGGCGAGCCCTTAATCGCCAGTCTTACCCCAATCCTCTGGGCAGAGATCTGCTCCTATCTCAATCCCGCCGACCAAGCCAGTCTCGCCTTCGCCAGCAAAACCCTCCTCTCCAAGCTCGCCCCGCTCCAACCCTGGCAAGCCCTCAATGACCCTTCCAATCGCGAATACCGATCCGACTTCCTTGTCTCCCAAGACCGCTACCTCCCCCATCACCTCCTCTGCTTCCCCTGCGCCCGCTACCACCGTCGCACCCAAGAAGGTCACGAGAAACTCCAACCCGCTCATGTCGTCAACCCTCTCTTCAACTGCCCCAACATGCGCAACTCCCTCCTCCCGCCCCCGCGTCACCGCATCACCCACGGCCGCACCCTCCCCTTCAGCTTCGTCCAACTCGTCATGCGCGCCCACAACTTCTCCCCCTCCTATGGCCTACCCCCGGATTCCCTCTCCCGCC